ACAGCGATTTTCAACTGGTATGCTGCAAAAATTTTGAAAATGCATTGCAATACCTGACCTTTTCCCCCTTCGACTGTCAAATCAAAGTATGACAACAGCCCACACCTGATTAAACTTATTAAAAAAATTGTGTGTGTGTGTTATATGTATATATATATATATATATATATATATATATATAATTTTTTTTTTTTTTTTACAGAAAAGGGAGAGGGACAGAATGAGAAACATCAATGAGAGAGAAACATCAACCAGCTGCCTCCTGCACCTCCCCACTGGAGGATGTGCCCGCAACCAAGATACATGCCCTTGACCAGAATCAAACTTGGGGCCTTTCAGTCCACAGGCCAACGCTCTATCCACTGAACCAAACCAGTTTTGGCATACCTATTTTTGTGTGTGTGCCACAGAATTTTAATAATTAGTTTCTGTGTGCCGTGAGAGTAAAAAGGTTGGAAATCAGTTTCAGAGTGCTTAATATGGGTGAGGCACTGTTGTAAGAGCGTTTTTCATATACTTAGCCTCACTCAGAGAGAGAGTATTATCATACCATATTACCCACATTTTACAGATGAGGAAACTGAGGCACGGAGAGATCATGTACTTGCTAAGTGCCAGATCAAGAATCTGAGCCTAGGCAGTGTGACCCTGGAGTCAATGAGCTGGACTTACGCGCAGCCCTCTCTCTCAGCAAACCTTGGACTACGATAGATACCCACCTCACACAGCATGCGGCGTTACCTCCCGGAGGTGCTTAGCAACAATGATTTTAATGAGTGATTATCTACAAATCCAGGAAATTATTTAATGTAAGTCAGTATTGAGTCAATTCAGACTCTCGTAGGGGTGTCGAACTCAATCAGAGAAGGGGCCAAAATCTAAAATCCGGCCTAAATCGCGGGCCGAATGCTTTACTGAACAGTCATAAACTGTCATTGTGATGGAAACGCAGCGGAGTGCAGTGATGACAGCGCGGTGCGGGCCACATTGCCAGGCCTGGCGGGACGGATTTGGCCCGCGGGCCTTGTGTTTGACACATGTGGGAATTAGAGAATAAAAACTAAACTTTTCTCTGAATACAATCAACTACTCTCTATTAGAGCAAAGCAGAGAGTCTCTGCATTGCTAAGCCCATTTGCAGGAATCTTTTGGAAGAAGTTTGTCAAGGTGACCTTTCTAGTCTCTCATCTTGGGCTTTGATTTGTGTGGTATTGCAGTTCTGCAAATGTCAGAATGAAGATTGGTAAATTGGAACAGAATATTATTTGCAGGCAAATTTTGTTCCATTTTACCAATCTTCACTCTGACATTCAGAGAATACACAACCATCCGCTCTTGCCCTATGGTAAGGAAATAAATACTGAATTCCCCCTCTCTCTCAAACTAGGTATGTGTTCTGATGAGGTATAGTTTGACCTACCTTCAGGACTTATAAAAAATTAAACATCTTTAACTAACAGGAAACCACTTTAGTCGATCAATTTTCAGACTTCCATCATTGGTTTCCTATAATAGATAAGAGGGCTGGGCTCTAAAGTTTCTTACAAGTGCACTTGTCTGATCTATATCAAAATGGGAAGCCTGCATTTTATGTAATAAAATGCAAAGACAGTACTATTATTCTTGTTAAAGGTTTTTTTCAATGTGTACTCTGGAAGTTTCCATTCTTTTGCCTTCCAAAGTATGAATCAAAACAATGTTACTAAAATAGCCAGAAGCTATTATTCACAATAGCTTCATCTTATCAGTTCTCTTAAAATTCATATTGTGAATTGTAATTATTTTATGCTGCGAGACTATAAGTAATACATTTTCTTTTAAAAATTGTATGGCTCCATTTTTTTCTTAATTCTTAAGAAGTTAGTGATTTTGATTTTAAGGACGATATTAGAAAATGTCCTAAATCTCTTTTCCTGGAAGGCTGTCCAGAAATGCTGTGTTACAAGGGATAGCAGAACCAAACATTTATCCTTTTCAGTGGTACGAAGGGATAGCTCTTGTTCCCTGATCCAGGCTGTTTGCTCACACCACAGAATTCGCGGTTTCTATAATGAGTACTTGCCTCCGGGTAAGTAACCTGTCATTTACCTCCCACACAATCTTGATGTGGAGCAGTACTTTGCTGTTGCCCTTTAGGATGGACTGACCTGATACCTATAGTAATTTGTGGATTACTTTATCTGTATAGAAAGTGGCTAATGAGTACTCAGATCTCTATGGAATGGTAGGGTTATACAGGTATCCTTTTTCATAAATGTAGAATTTTTAAAAACTGCAGAAAACAAAGCTAAGCAAAATGGGATTACTCAGAAAATAGAAAGTGACTTTCTTAAGGTTGTTTGAAATGATTCTCCCAATTGATGGCCAGCACTGGGTTTCCACCATTTTGAGCTCCAAAGTTGCCAACAATTCCAAGCACCGAGTTACAGGAGGCTTAGTATATTTTTATGAAGCTGTCTTCAGAAAATAGCGTGATTGATAATTGTAGAGCTTGCAAAGAGCTAAGTCTTCATTAGTACGGAAGTACTATTCAAGTATAGTTTACTTGAAGGTCAAAAATGATGGCCAGTCCAGGACAGATTTTTCCAAGTCCAGAATTTTAAAAAACAAACAAATTACGTTGCCCACATGAGTACAAAGTCAATACTCCTGATTCTAAAAGAGTACCTTTTCTTTTAAAATGGTTATATCTCCAAGCAGTTTATTCTTTCACAAAAATCTGGCCCATGTATATTGCCCTCACTTAGGAGATAATAATACTATGCACTCTACATATGTTTAAAAAGAACTTTTTATAAGATCCCAAGGAAAGTATTTTTATAAGATCCCAAGGAAAGTATATTTCATAGTTCATCTGCTTTCTGAAAGTGGGAAAATATTATACACTGTCTACATAGTAACTGAATGGCTGTTCTTTCCAGTTGCTTCTATCAATAGATAGTTATATACATTACCTTAGATTTCATGTTACAAATTTTGTTGCAATGGCGAGGCATTGGGATTCAGTCTTACTATACATTAGGGACATATGACAACAGAAATTAAGTTTTATCCAGTTGTTGAATCAGAAAAACCTAAGGTCTGAGAGATGTGGAAGTCATGGAGAGAACAAAATCCTGAATGGAGAACTCTTTTGTAAAATACTGCATTAGGCATAAGAATCGTCTCAGAAATTGAACTATGCCACTTGGGTTGGGAGGTGAATTTTAAGCCATTTATAAATTACTGGATTTAATTCTTTCGATGGTGAACATAAGGTAGACTCTGACATATAAAATTATTACAAAAGAGCAATGTTCAAATCAGTGTTGCTCAGTTGAAATGATCATTATGGTTCAAGGCAAATATGTAATTTTCTCTTATGTGAGGAATCTGTGTGGCTTATTTAATAACTGCTACTATTTCATAGGTTCAGGAAAGTGTCACAACTGCCTATTATCATTGCTACTCAGATCTTTATTCTGCCTCCAAAAGTTAGAGTGAAAATTAGACCAGTACTATCACAGTAGAGAACCTAGTTCTAGGAAAATGGATTGATGAGAACTAAAAAACTTATTTTTTTTTTTTTGTCTCCTAAAATTAAACATGTAGACACTGAAATCTCGGGGCTATTTTGTGAATTTTCTGTATTTTTAAAATGTTGCTATTCTTTAGGACAGTTGTTCTCAACCTTTCTAATGCTGTAACTCTTTAATACAGTTCCTCGTGTTTTGGTGACCCCCCAACCATAAGATTATTTTCATTGCTACTTCATAACTGTAATTTTGCTACTGTTATGAATTGTAATGTAAATATGTGTTTTCTGATGGTCGTGACCCACAGATTGAGAACCACTAGCAGGGTCACCTAAGACCATCGGAAAACAGATGTTTACATTACGATTCATAACAGTAGCAAAATTAGTTATGAAGAAGCAACAAAAATTATTTTATGGTTGGGGGTCACCACAACATGAGGAACTGTATTAAAGGGCCACGGCATTAGAAAGGTTGAGAACTAATGCTTTAGGTCAGCATTCTTTATTGAAGGTTTTAGTGAAAGTTGCCAGAAAGGAGAAAGTATGTTCAAATAAGTTCATCTTGGTTCTGATCATTTTTAGTAGAATTACAGTTTGGCCATGGAAAAAACTGGGATTTAGGAAATTTTTTTAATTTTAGTTATGTGATATCTCTAGTTCGAACTAGTACAGAAATTTAGGGGTCAGCTTGATTATTTGACATTTTGACAACTATTAATATGTATATGTCCCAGGTAAAACAGTTACTGTGATGCAATAGTGACCCCTTCACTCCTACATACAGGGTGCAGCAAAAGTGGGCTTATAGTTGTGAATAAATGAAAGTTTATTCTTGTATTAATTATTGTATTTTCCATACAAACAACTATAAACCCACTATTGCCTCACCCTGCATTTTTTAAATGTGCAAAAAAAAATTTTTTTTTTTTTTTTAAGAATTTGCTCTAGCATCTGTTTTTGAGTATTGTTAAATATATTCACCCAATTTGTGTTTGACAAAAGGGCATCAGACTCCCAAACGCGTTTCAAATAATTTCTGTTAAGTCCTGAAGTTAAATACTTGGAAGACTTGTGGTATTTCTGTTTCTCACAAGTAAAACCCACAAAATAAACTTGTCTATGTAGCTTCAACTTTTTAATTTTAGCATCTTCTACCACTTTTTGATACTTTGAGAATTAGTTAAAACTTTGCCAGAACCTACTTTAAAAATCAGTATTATTATATACCATCATCAATAAAAAAGAAGGAAAAATAATAAATAAAAATACACACACACACACACACACACAAAAAATCAGTATTAGCTCTAATACACAGACTTCTGTTAGTGTTCACTTTTTCCCTGGTCACAGGTGCATGTTACAGCTTGCCATTGTGGTCATTGTGGTGCCATTTCATTTCGCTTCTTGTTCTGTCTGCTTTCTTGAGACTTGGGAAACGGTATTTTTCTGAGTGATTGTACCATATTGTTCCAAATATAAGGCCACCCAGAATAGAAGGCAACCTCCAGCTAGAGACAGCTCAAATGTGGAGAAAGGCTGGGGGCCCCGAGCCCGGCGGGTCTTGCAGTGGTGGCAAGGAATAGGACGCTGCCTGCCCACTCTGCCGGTGAGTGAAGACAGCCCACTGTTGCATTTGCTTGTGTGTAACCCAGGTGGCTTGTGCTGCTCGAGGAAAGCTATGCTGGGGGTAGAGAACGGTCTGTGTTCATGAAAGCTGCTGTGGGTGTAAACCTGGGGAGGGATGCTGGGAGTAGTCTTTCATCTCCTAAACAGTCATCTCTAGGGTTCCCCCCCCGAACTTGAGGGTGAAAGTTGAGTGACTGGAGCACAAAGGTAGCCTGCACCTTCATGAAAAGGCATTTAAGAGATCAGTGGCCATGAAAATGAACAGTTAGACACACTCAGATGTCTGTTGACCAGCCTAGGAAATTATTCCCTGCCCTTTTTAGTTGACTGCGGCCTGGGAGACAGTGGTGCACTATGGGATCACATATACCTGAAATTGGGAGTCACCTAATTTCATTAAGGTTTTCCACTTTTTAAATCTCTTGTCTCCTGAACCAGCCATGTTATAATGTAAATGGGCTCAATCTTATTAAAATATGTTTTGCTCAGTAACACGTTTAAAAAAATACTTCAGTGAAAACATTTTAGTCAACGGTGTATTGACTGAATCTAGATAATTTCCCAAATTTTGGTCTCATTTTACTGAGCACATATCAATTTGTCCTTTTATTTTATGGGAAGTAAATGTGATAGAATGAGTTGCTTGATTCTGATACAGTCTAGAAACCTGTTTAGCACCTGCTGGTGTACAACTTTACCAGCACTTGGCTACCTTTGTGGCTTCACAAGAACCACATAAACCACGAATCTTGATCCTTTCTGTGATTAGTCCATGGCTCACAAAGTGAATTTGAATTTTAATCCCCCAATGATACAATTCCCCTCTTTACTATTATTATCCTGTTTTTTAAAGAAACTTTTTAAATAAAATATTTGTATTTCTGAATAGATAAGGGTAGGACAGGACGCACCTTAAGTTTAAACAATGCTAAATTATCTACAGCTGTGGTTGGCAAACTGTGGCTCATGAGCCACATGCGGGTCTTTGGCCCCTTAAGTGTGACTTTTTCACAAAATACCTCGGCCTGGGTGAGTCTATTTTGAAGAAGTGGCGTTAGAAGTTTAAGTTTAAAAAATTTGGCCCTCAAAAGAAATTTCAATCACAGTACTGTTGATATTTGGCTCTGTTGACTAATGAGTTTGCCGAACCACTGATCTAGAGGGTTTGGTTAAGGGAAGATCCTTATCACTGACTTTAGAAATTTTCTTAAACTAAAATGGCCTGGAACATATGGAGGTCCCATTCCAAAGCAAAAGCATGCAAGGATCGATGTACCTCCCAGTTTGCCGGGTCTGGGAAGGGGACCTTTAAAAGAAGGACTGGGAGGAGGGGAGCCCAGAGGTGGGGAGGAGTATGGCCAGCCAAGACAGATTAGCAGTCAGAAGAAAGACTAAACTGCAGTGGTGGGTCCTGAATGAGAGGTTTGAAGTAAACTCTGTGTAACCTCAGAGGCCTTTTCACATGAGTTCATGAGCGTGGTGATAGCAGGGAAAGAAAATGATAGAGGACTAGAGCCTCCTTTATAATTCCTTTGTTTTGGAAACATCTGATCTCTTCAGAAGAGGAGGATGTCCAAAATGTGGTGGTGGAGTTGGAGGGAGGGTGTGCCCACTGAGCCAACCTCAAATAGTTTCCCTTTTGTTGTTTGTATCAGGTACTACGTCTGATTTGGTCTTAAATACAAATAGAGGAAAACATACATTATAAATATTTTTTCCCCAGAGAGGGTTGGGACTGTTATAATTGGTTACCTTGTGTCATCACCTGCTATTAATTTAGTCATTAGTGGCAATGAAGGACAGAAACCGGAGAGGTCACCTATATGTCACACTCTTGTGGCTGTTCCCTGTTGGCTAGAGAGTTGGGCAGGACCTGATGTGTTTCCCTAACTCTCTGAGCAAGGAAAAGCACACGGTCTCCACTGGCTTGTTAGGTAGTGAGGATAGCCTTCAAGGAGGTAAGCAACAGGGAAGAGAAAACATATCCCAAATCGCATGCATAATAACTTTTGTAAAAATCAATGGGAAGTGTCAATTTCTTTAAAAACAGCATGGTTTGCATAAAGCCCAAACCTAAGACAGGCTGCACTCAATTTTCCCTTCCCATCCCTAAAATGCACAACACGGAAGCTCTTAGAGATGCTGGAAAAGAAAAGTTCCAAACCACACACGATGCTCCTTCTCCAGGGATTAGATCCATGGGGTCCAAGAGAAACAGAGCAGTTGTCAGTCTCTTAGGCATGAAAAAATCTCAGTTTGTTGGACAGACATTAACATCTCTCAGGCCCTTTGAGTGTAATGATCACCCATACACGGGTGAAATTCCCATTCGACTGCTTTTTGTGGGAGTTAGATAACTGCTACTCTTTTTCTTCCCAGCTCCTTTAGTGTCTCTGCAAGCATTCCCTAGAAAAAGTCGGTTTGATTTTCCCCCAGTTCCGTATGGGTGACAGTGACTCTCACAGGCCAAATTAACCATGGCAGCTTCTGGTTCCTCAGCAACTAAGCTGCGGAGTCACTGAACTACAAATATGTAATCTGATCCATTTTGTTTTTCATATAAAAAAAAAAACACCCAAAAAACAGAAAATAAGAGGAATTTGGTTAAATCTCTTTGGAATATGTTCCACTACAGGTCTTCCCTCAAAGAAGTATTTCTTATAAGAGAGAGAGTCTTATAAGAATGTGATGTGTCTGCATTTTCTGAGACATATGGAATGAGGCATTTGTCTTGCTGAATGAGCATGTTAACTCAGCTGCAGAGTAACTCACACATTCCCTACACTTGAGTATGGTTAAGTTTCAAAAAATCATTCTTGAAATGCTTACTGCTCATTCCTTAGGGGGCTTTGCTCTCTTTGGTAAATTAGAGATGACATCTGGACATGCGTAGAGATGGTTCTTGGTTAACTTTTCTTGCTGGTCAAGCAGCAAGTACACTGCAATTAACAGGTAGACAGTATTGTAGGGGGAACAAATTTTAACAAAATGGCTGATTCTCATTTGGCAGTGAAATTGAATGACATCTGTGCCGTTATAAACGACTTTTGTTTTAATAACAAAGTTGTTGATTTTCTACTAAGGGTTCTTTTAGGTTGTCATCAGGGGCTGATGGGAATAACAGTTCACCCAACTCTCCAGCTAGCTTCAGTGGACATACCACACCTTCTCAGCAGCCTGAACCCGTGGTACATTCTCTTAAGGTAACCAACTGTGTACAACCATTTACCAAGAAAATCAGTTGTGTTGTGATTTGTTGCTGTAGTCTAGTAGTCCTCAGTCTTGTTTTAACCATATAGACTATTTTGTTTTTACCCCTAATGGTGTAACTTTAAGTTTTGAACTACGATTTTAATTTTTTAACAATGGGTTTGGGTACTTATGGTTGAATCGCTAGTGTTATTTTGTTTTGAGTAATGTGATTCATTACCTGCATCGAGTTGAATTTGAAGTCTGATATGCATGTATATTCATTGTGTAAGATAATGTTACCGGTATTTTATGTGCAATGTTTGTAGCATGGGTGTCTTCAAATAGAGGGAGTTCATAGTTGGCCAAAGGAAGGAAGGATATCATATTTTTCTTTCTTTATGCAAATGAAGCACATTGTGCCACTTACTAAAAGAAACTATTGAAACAAACAAAACCTACTTCCCCCTCCATAAAATAAATTAGGTCTTCAAACTCTAGTTATTGTTCCTTTATAGAATATTACAAAAAAGGTATGAGATCTTGCTCATACAGCTATTTTATTTTTGGCTTTTCCTTAAAATTCTGTAATGACTTCAAAAAAGACATGGCTGAAATTTATCATTTAATTTTCTTTACCAATAATGAGCTTTCTAATAAGTATCATAAGTAAAATTAATCAAAATATTTCAGAATAGAAACAAATACAATAAAAATTAATCTTAAAATTGAGACGATTCCTTGAAATTTTCAGTTTCCAAGTATAAAACGATGTCCTTTAAATCAGTAATCCCTAACATGCAGCCTGATGAAGTATTCTGAGCATGAGGTAGGTAGAGTGCTTCAGCCTGCCACATGAGGTTCACAATTTTTCTAAAATTATTTTGGATTCAGAAGGATTTACCCACAGATGGCAGATGCATCCTTTTGGAGTGGGCCACACTTCCCCTGGCATGTCTAAGGCAAATAGATAGATGAGGACTTCAGAGTAGTTATTTGGAGTTGGTTTAGTTTTAGTAGATTCAGCTCCCTCCTTGTATTTTACTGTCCCTTAGATCAGTGGTTGGCAAACTCACTAGTCAACAGAGCTGCAAACATGTGGCTCGCGAGCTGCAGTTTGCAGACCACTGCCTTAGACGAAGTGAGCTTGCGTCTCACAGGCAGCAGTTGGCTGCTGATGAGGGAAGGGAGCAGGACCACGCTGGTGGCCAGTGGCAAGGCGCCTGGCATTTCCTGTCTTGGTTGGGACAACACAAAGTGAGCGACTCATGGGACAACAGAATGAGGCGGCCCTCCTCTGGCGGGTGCTGGTTTATTGACTGGGGAACACTTGCTCTCTGCTTCAGCATTTGAATGCTGCTTAGCATGAACAGCATGCTAACCGTGCTGTCACTTGAGCAGAAGCCAAGCTCTAGCTACCTGAAAAGCATTTTAGAGATGAAAAAGTGAGAGTGGCTTCAATCTTGTAGTGCTAGTGTCCTTACAAACACCCAAAGTAACTCATTTTCCCATTGAAGGATGGTTCAGCCTGCTGCCTTATTAAAGGGCAAGTGCAGTTTGAATCAGATCAGCGGAGTGGGTCGCACTGCATTCCTGCCCAGATTTCTCACTACGGCTGTGTTAATATGGCCGGAAAGAAATGGGGCAGGCAGGGAAGAGCTCTCCAACTCTCTCTAAATTCATGCTCTAATTCTCATAAAAATTTACCTCTAGAGAGGAAGATATTATGTTACATTATAATCAGGACACATAAGTCCTCACTGGGCAGCTGGCTAATACTGAGCAACTAAAGTACCTTTATTGGATAACTGGAGGCTTTTGAATATATAATATGTTCGCTTCCATGGGTTCACTGTGTCTGAAGCAGAAATATGTGCAAACACAGCCTATGGGAAATGCATCGGAATACTATCTCAATGTTAAAAACATGCAATCACTCAACATTTTGTATTTAAAAGCCGCTGATCTAGAGCATATTTATATCATAAGATTTTTCTATTCTGAAAGGAATAATTAGGACAATGGCTCAGTTTCTCATTTTTTGATAATTTCAAAATTTTTTCTCTAGAATTTAATAACTGGTCATGGATGGGGGAAGAGTTTGAAGGCGGTGTGAGAAATTAGCTCACTTAAAATACCACATTTTTCTTGTTTTTAAAATTCATGCTAACTATTAATTGGAGCTTCACTTCATTTAGTAGAAATTAACTGATTTGAAGCACTCTTCTCTGAGGTGCATAATAAATCAAATTTGTAAGTAAAGAGCTTGTTCAAAGAGTTCTGTAAGTTTTCTATGAATATTCACTGAGCATAGTTAAGGATTTCCTCTAATGGATGTAAACTGACTCTAACTTGAGTAAAAGGGCCAGGCTTTCATTCACTACCCTGTTTCCTCGAAAATAAGACAGTGTCTTATATTAATTTTTTCTCCCAAAGTTGTGCTAGGTCTTATTTTCAGGGGATGTCTTATCTTTCCATGTGCTTGTCTTATTTTCAGAGGATGTCTTATTTTCGGGGAAACACGGTACTATCATATGATATGGTAAAGAAGCAATATCTACATTATAACAATGGCTTGAACTTTTGAATTAACCAGAAAGTAGTTTGTAAATTAGATTCTCTATTGCAGCATGAACTCTAGAGAAAAACCCATGCAGTCACAGTATATATGAATTTAAAAGGAAGGCTCATTTATTTTGGCTCAACTGTTCACTGGTGCTAATTCGCAGGTGACACCTTTAGGAGTGGCCATTAGCTCCAACAGAGGACAACAGAACAAGGAGCTTAGCAATGTCAGGGGGGATTCTATAGCTCTTAGGAAAAGTATTATTTATGCTACATTAATGCTTTGATTTATAAGCTAACAGAAGAAAACAGCAAACTGCATTCTAAGCCCAAGTTTTGTATTTTAGAAAGTATTGACATGAAAATTTATAGACATTTTAAAAGGAATATTTTTTCATGCTATTAAGCAGTAATGAAATCTAAAATTGTTTAAAAGCATCTCATCCCTAGATACTTTGTTCTAATGAAAAATATTTAAAGTGTTGCTCATATATTGTCACTATAAGGAGTCAGTGTTTCTCATTGCTAATATCAAAGAACCATCCACATGTACCTTTCCTAGCCACTAAGAATGCCCCGGCAAGAACTGTGAGGTCAGTAGAGTTAATATTAACAAAAATTCTTATGTACATATTCCTGGGTTCTGACCAGTTTCACCATCACTATCATCTTTTCTATAGGCCGTGTCTACATATCATTTGGACTGTCTGGTGTATAATTAATTATATTGCTCATTTTTACAATGGAACAAGAATTATTGACTTTAAATCATTGACAGGTTATCTTAATGACCCAATTAACTAAATGTATCTAATTATTTTAGACATTAATTCATTCAAGAGACTCTTAGTAATGCAATAGATTGCTTTTAATGGCCATCTGAAATCAAGTAGAATTGATTCCAGCTAGGTTTCACAATAATAAACTATTTTAAAAGATTTTGCCATATATGTATCCACTCTGATATGCAGACATGGAGAAAACTAAAGCTTTTACCAAGTCGAGCTGCTTGCTGGTTTTATTCTATAACTAACAAGGTTTTTTTTTCCATGTGAAATTTGCTTCTCTTTTTCAACTAATCCAGGTCTTGGATGTTCAGGAAACTATAGATCGTCAACAGGGTAAAGAGTATGAACAGGACCTTAGTGAGACAGAAAAAGCTATAGTCAGAGAAATGTGCAATGTAAGTTTAATGTGCTTTGTTGTGTATTCTGTGTTCCAAGCCCCATCATGGCATAGTTATTGCTTTATGAATATCTACTTTTAAAAACGCTGGACAAGCGCCCTAATTACATGAAAATAAAATCAACCCCTCTTATTATCACTTCAATCATGTTATAAAATATTCAGGTAAGCAATAAGCCATTATGTTGCAGAATTATGAAAGTTTCTAAATTGTCTGTTGTCTAAAATGTATTACTAAATACATTTTGATAAAATAAATGGGTTTCTGTTTCATACTTTTAAGAAGTTCCTTAGAGATCAGTGTTTAAACCCTGTGATAAAGAAAACAGACTTCTTTGGATTTGTTTGTAAATATACTTGGGGGAAAAGAATTGTCATCTTAATATTTGCTGGGTTCATGCATATTATGTGTGCTTCATGTCATGCAAAGTAATATAACCACGGAAAGGTAAAGATATGTTCAGGAGATAGACATACACATCTAACTATGAAATTATAGAGGAACACAGTAAGAACATGACATGCTACTTTCATGATACATATTTAATGTGATCATTATGTGTCTGACTAAATTTTAACTATTTCAGTAATATGCATATATGTATCATTTAATCAAGAATATAATAGTGAAGGTTTAGAAAGCTAAATAGAATGTTATTAGAAAGCTAAATACTGTAGAGTATTACAGAGGAACACATTTGTTAAAAACAAAAGTCACATTTTGATATTAGTTAACTTACAACATGCTTTCCACATTCTTTTTTTTTTTTTAATATATTTTATCCATTTTTTTACAGAGAGGAAGGGAGAGAGATAAAGAGCTAGAAACTTCAATGAGAAAGAAACATCAACCAGCTGCCTCTTGCACACCCCTACCGGGGATGTGCCCACAACCAAGGAACAGTACATGCCCTTGACCGGAATCAAACCTGGGACCTTCCAGTCCACAGACCGACGCTCTACCACTGAGCCAAACCGGTTTTGGCTTAATCACTCATTTTAATTGGCTTCATATATTTAATATTTTTAACCTTAGATTCTTTATCCATTAAGATATCAAAATCGTTTAGAAATACCCTTAAGCTTTAGGCTATCAGGACCAGATGTTCTCAGACACTTACCAATCTCTTGGAGGTCTGGGCATTTTCTATGTGCTAGGAAAAGTGTTTTAGTCTCCTGCTTGTTTGTATTGTGGCTGTTTTTATTTCACGAATATCTGTTTTTGTCTGTTTTCAAAAGTCATTAGTTTTAGATGGCATGATTTCCTAAAGGCATGATTTCCTAAATGCATCACTGTTTACCTTCTGTAGCTTTTCAGCCTGTCCTTAAGGTTTTCAGTTTGAATATTTCCCTCAGAGAAGTTTAAGGATTTGGGCCACACACCTAGGAATGCCTGTTGCTTCTCATCTATTGTCTCTGGAATGAGAAAGTCCTGACAGACTAGGAAATTGTAGAACTCGAGGGGGCCACCGAGGTCATCCCCCAGTGGGTCTCCACAGAGAAGTCTGTGGAGCTCCTTGGTAATTCAGAGGTCTGGGTTTTACCCCAGACCATGGACAATTTGGATAGCATCTGCTGGGTAAGAACCCCAAAAATGCATGTTATGTCCCAAAATTTTGTTTATTGCTCAACTTAAGGTACTTGCTCAGATTGGAATAGTTAATTGGGAAGGAGTAGACCCAGAAATCCTGAGGACTAGTTCTACTTCCCCAATTAAAGCTGGGGATTCCTTTCCTCAAGAATGAAAAGCAGTGCACATTACGTCTCCATTGTGCTTAATGCCGGAAATTCTGTAAAGAAATGCCAGGATTGTCCCTTTTCTTGCCTCTTTTTAAAATTTTTAGATGAAAGATTTCTAGACATCAGAAATTTTATTTCTTAATCACATCAGAGACCTACCATGGGTTGTAACTTGATTGGTTTGTATAGATCTTTTTGTATAGATCTTTTTGTTTACCTATATTTAAAAAAAATGTGTCAGAATATATTTTCCTATATAAAAAAGCTTTCCCTCCTCGTTTGCCTTTACACATTCTCTAGAAACCTTTTCAAACTCTCAATTGTAGTGATGCCCATAATTTGAAAAAAAATAAACCAGCCCAAGTCTGACTGTTAGCATTCATATTTGGAAAGTACTTAAAAGTCAAGGAAAAAGGTGTTGATTCAAAATATTGGCATCACCATTATGAATTATATGAACATTGAAAAAAACAAAGCAAATACTGGAGAAAATATGTTTTATGTTAAGACATTTGCATGGATAAGTAATTTCTTAGAAACTCACTAAGATTGTGAAACCTATTAGAGGAACTATGTGCTTTTATAATAATGTAACAGAAATACAGAACTTTCTCATGATGTAACATCAGTTATAAGACTCAGAACTTAACAGAAGTTTTGCCTTAGTTTCTGGTAGTCCTCCTGAAGATAAGTTGTTGCCATCTATACAATGAAGGACTTGTTCACATCATGTTAATAGCATGAAGGGCTCTATTTCTATTCTCTTCCCAAACTGTACCACAGAAATACACTGTTTTATTGTTTTAATCTTAGGTTTCTCTGTTTGACTCTCGAATTCCATGAGAACAGTTTAAATATTTGATTGGTCATTAACCTGTTCTCCTCTTAGATAATAGGTGAATCATTGGCTTAGCTCAATTCTGCCTGCTCTATTTCCTTTTACCACGTAGCCCATGGCAACCTACACTTGAGTATTGAAGACGGGTAACATTGAATTATAACCATCTAATTCTTTGTGTCTGTGACTGAGGTCTTGAGTTTACCCTCTACTTCTAAATCAGAAATTTAAAGCATGCTGGATAGATGTAATTATATTTACAATTTAAGGGCAAGAAAGAGATGTTATCTTGGCTTCCTGATCAGATGTTTGTAACTCTTTGCAGTCTAGTTATTAAGACTGAGACTCTCCTAATTCCCTTGTTATACAGCTTGAGCCATTTATTGCTATGACAGTCCTTTCCAATAGTTGAGGACCATAACAACAACTCTCCAAGTGGGACAGGACATTTCTTTCACATAGGAGTATCTGCTAGAACCGTGGTTGGCAAACTGCGGCTCGTAAGCCACATGCGGCTCTTTGGCCCCTTGAGTGTGGCTCTTCCACAAAACACTATAGCCTGAGTGAGTCTATTTTGAAGAAGTGACGTTAGAAAAAATTTAAATTTAAAAAATTTGGCTCTCAAAAGAAATTTCAATGATTGTACTGTTGATATTTGGCTCTATTGACTAATGAGTTTGCCGACCCCTGTGCTAGAACATAGAGACTAATAGTTGCATTGGCTTACAAATGAAAGTAGACAGAACCCTGTATTATTCTTACTTGGTATCTCTGTGGTATCTGCTCTATTTAAAAGGAAAACAACCAGAGTCTCTGAATAATTAATGAACTAGCTGGTTTTGTGTTCATGATACAAGTCATGTAAATTTTTGTGGAATTAATCAATGTGAGCATAGTCTTTATAGTGAAATACCCTGGGAGGGTTATAATTGTTACTGTGTGTGTGTATACGCATGTTTTCCAATTACTACTAGTATATTAATATATCATTGGTGATTTCAGTAGTTTTACCTTATACTTATGTTATTCTTCAGCTCACCTTTACTACTATCCCTCTAAAATAGCCCAATTTTGAGCATGTTGTAATTGTATAATTGTATCTAGTTCAGTGGTTCTTGAATTTATTCTTACCTTTTCCCTGCATGTGGACGCTTTCTGTTTTGGCAGTCTGAGAGATCGTACTGTTTTGTAGCTAAGATTTATGATTGGAGCCCCAAACTCTACGAGGAGGAGAAGAAGGGAAATTTACTAGTGGCCCCAAAGCTATCAGCTTAGGACTTAAATAGCGCAAGATCAAACCTTCTTCATTTTCCTTTGATATCCCTTGTAACAGAGGTATAAGATAGGGACAAGGATGATTTTGCTTAAGGATTCTTTAACTCTAGCATGCATTAGAATCACATTGGAAGCTTTTAAAAAATACAGATGCCTGCACCTCACCTCCACCAATGCAGTCAACCTTCGAGGGTAGGGGTTTTTGTTTAGCATGCAGCTAGAGTGGAGTATCATTCAAATACCTAGGCTGAGTGGGCACATCATTCTTTAATTTTGACCCTGGTTCCTGACAAGCCTGATGGTCCAACAACCTAGTAATTCTTGTGATTTAGAGGCTTGCACCACATTTTACTCACTTTGTGTTTGAGCTCATTTGTGTGGCTATTGTGTCTCTTGTCTTCACATTCATCTTTGCCCCTCTCATAGATCTCCCTTAAAAACTCACATATCTGTGTGGAAGAGAACAATTAAGATGTTTTGTTTTCTTTTAAAGGTTGTGTGGAGGAAACTTGGAGATGCTGCAGGTTCGTGTCCTGGGATTAGGCAGCACTTGTCTGGAAACCAGTATAAAGGACCAATGTGAGAAACACTCTTTTCAAACATGAGATCACCACTGCCAGAAATAGGTAACAGAAAAGGAGAAGAAAAAGTGGATTTCCGCAAACCTGAACTCATGGAGTGATTGCACATATTTTCCCTCTAAAAACCTTTAGTATAACTAAAGCTGTATTTTATGTCTTTCGCTTTGATGTCTACAATAGTCAGTTTCAAACAAAGGTAGCTTTGAAAATCACCATTTTGGTACCAATATTTTCATTAGAACTAAAATGTTTTTGACTCCTTAGATTATAATTGGGAAAAACGCATGATTGGAAGGGTACAATAGAGCCTTGGTGTTTGATAGAGTTGACTGATTGCATTTAACGTGGGAGTTTCCTACCATGTTGTATTGAAAAGTAGAAGAGGTAGGTGTCTTCCAGCTTCCCAAGTTTGAGACTTGAGTACCTAATTGTTATATTTTAGTCAACAAAATACTAGTTCCTGCTGCATAATTTAGATGCAAGATAAGATAAGAAGGTTCCTGGGGTTTTGTTTTCAGGTGCTAAAATATCACATAAATTCTTCTTAACAGCTGGTAGGTAGCAAGACTTTATATAGAGTGCTTATCAGAGAGGACCACTTATTTCAAGTGATCAAAATAAATATATCTCTTCTTTTAATCCTGATGTATTTTTCATGAAGACATGCCTTGGGGACATGTCTATATTCAGTGTATACCCATTGATGTTAATATTACCAATTTCAATTGAAGAACAAGCAAACCTAATTTTTCTAAGTGTTTTCAGCTGTGAGATGTCAATTTCTACAATTTAGTTTCTAGACATGCTGTTATATTTAATAAACTTCATGTAAATTTTAAAATATTGCACTGCATTTATGAAAAGCTTTCTTTGTCTACAGCAGCTATCCAATGTTTTATGAAACTGGCGCATGCCCTTCATTATTGAGGCTTAAAAGCTTTGTTCAGGCTGCTTGAGGTTTGAAAAAGGTGTGCTAGCTTTGCTTAATTTCTTATTTTTGGTATATATAATATTAGACTGTGTGTATTGGAAATGCTATGATAGGTATTTTGTGTTTATTCAAATGCAATGACAGTTTCCTGTATGAATGTGCAAAAGGCCTGTGATAGAATGCTAAATTTTTACTGTGGTTTAAGGTTATAAAAGTAGGAATGCAACAATTCCCAGTTAACAGATTTCTCCTAAATTACTCTATTGTTTTTAAATGGACTCATTAGCTTAATAATTGTTATTGATGAAGGAATTTTGTTAGTTTTTAGAATGTTGTGATGAAAAACCAGTACTCTGCTTTCAGAAAACATTTATGAATTAATTTACTATAGAATAATCTCTAATTCTCATAATTGGGTTATAATTTAAGGCTATCTTTCTTTTATATCTTTATCAAGAATTACTACTTTGTAAAAGAAAATTGCTTGCTTTATTTACACCTTCTCTTGTTAGAAAAGCTTTCATCCTTAAGTTGTTGTATTCCTACACTCTGAAGACATTTAACCCTTTGCACTCCGAACCATTCTGGACATTGGCTACCAGCTACTCGAAGCTACTTTGCAAAACGTGCGTTAACTCAATTCCCCGTAATCACTAATAAACTGCAATGTCCCCTGAGAGGGGACATCCGAGTGATGTGCTAGAATTCCGATGTCCCCTGAGAGGGGACAGCGGAGTGCAAAGGGTTAAAATAAGTTTTTGTGCCTGCAGAAGCTAATACAAGGAACACTGGTCTTTTGACAAAATACTTGTGTAAATTTTGATACTGTATTAAAACTATTTTTTTAAAGTTCTGCATAAAATTGAGTATCAAGTATGTGTTCATCTTAGCACTGGTAATAAATTATTTAATCTCATGGTGGTAGTGTTTTTGTTTTTTTCTTCTTCTTCAAAATGTTTTTCTTATATGAGTTTTCTGTAATCACTAAATACCATCATGCTCTTGTGTGGTGATAGCAATACAGATGACTTATCTTAAATATAAAACAAAGGCATGTTTTTAAAAATGCTCCCAGGGGATTTGGTATTCAGATACAACTCACTATTCTTTGTATAATGTGTAAGAGTTTTAGAATATTTAAAATTAGTTTGTTACAAAACCTTTATTTGTTATTTTAGTTCATATAGGTTAAAATTAAACCTAACTGAACTCCATTATTTAAAAACTAGAGGCCCGGTGTACGAATTTCGTGCACTGGGGGTGGTCTCAGCCTGGCTTATGCCCCCTTACAGTCCAATAAATGATGGTGGTAAAACTGCAAAAGAATGAAAATAGGCTGCTATCTGACATCTTATACAAATATTAACTCAAAATGGATTAAGGACTTGCATATAAGACTAGTTGCATATAAGACTAGGAAGAGTAAGATACATAGAAGAAAACATAGGATCTAAATGTATGGACCTTGGTGTCAGTGGGGTCTTTAACCACAAGGCAAGAGAAATAAAAGCAAAAATAAATGAATGGGACTACATCAAACTAAAAAGCTTCTGCACAACAACAAACCCATCAATAAAACAAAAAGGAAACCAATCCAATGGGAGAAATTATTTGCAAACCATAACTCTAAGGGGCTAATATCCAAAATATAGAAAGAACCCATATGACTCAACAACAAAAATACAATCTGATTTAAAAGTGGACAGATAGGTTGAATAGACACTTTGCCAAGGAAGACATCTAGATATACAAATGACCAACAGATTTGTGAGAAAATGCACAAAATCACTATCTAAAAGAAATGAAATCAAAACCACAAGAGATACTGTCTATTATCAATAAGACAAGTAAGTTTTGGAGATGTGGAGAAAAGGAGAACCCTGTACACTGTTGTTGGCACTGTAAATTGGTACAGCCACTATGGGGTACAGAATGGTGGTTCTTCAAATTATTAATCATAGAGCTACCAGCAATCCCTCTTCTGTGTATTTACCCAGAAAATTTGAAAACACTTATTCATAAAGATATACATACCCCTACCTTCAATGCAACGTTATTTACAATAGCTAAGAAGTAGGAACAACCCAAGTGTCCTTTGACAGATGATTGGATAAAGAACATGTGGTACATATATACAGTGGAATACTCCTCAGCCATAAAAATTATGAAGGACATATGATTTCACTCACATGTGTGATATAAAACATAAAAACAACAACAACAAAAAAAAAAACCCACAAAAAAAAACCCCAAAGTTCCAAACTTACAGATAAGACAACAGAATGGTGGCTACCAGAAGGGAAAGGGTTGGGGGGAAGATAAGGATAAAAGGGCCGAAACCGGTTTGGCTCAGTGGATAGAGCGTCGGCTTGCGGACTGACAGGTCCCAGGTTTGATTCCGGTCAAGGGCATGTACATTGGTTGGGGGCACATCCCCAGTATGGGGTGTGCAGGAGGCAGCTGGTCCATGTTTCTCATCGATGTTTCTAGCTCTGTCCCTCTACCTTCCTCTCTGTAAAAAAAAAAAATCAATTAAAAAAAAAAAAAGGAGGGTAAAAGGGACCAAATAGAACATGACAGAAGGAGACTGACTTTGGGTGGTGAGCACATAATATAGTATACAGATATACTGTACACCTGAATTTTATATAATGCCATTAACTTCTTTTATCCCCATACATTTAATAAATAAATTTAAAAATGTCTCTATAGCTTTACACAATTAGACAATATATTAGATTTAGCTAAATGAGATTGTCAATATTTGACCATTTTTAACCTATATAAGAGCAATTTCATTTGGTACAACCTCATGATAAGCAGATTTTTTGGGGGTGGGAATTAGAGAGTAAATAAAGCAAGAGAAGACATTACCATGTTGAGCTGAAGCCAATGTAAAATATGCTGTACTAAATGCACCATTGAATAAAGGCTGTTAGACTTAGGGAGGGAAACTTTGAGGCTCAGTGAGGTTAAGTTATTCCAACTCATGGAGCTAATTATAGAGGTAAATGTTGACCCTCCTGGCTCAGTTTCCTGACATTCCAAATGGAGATATCTTGCGGAGTTTTTTAAGATTCTTTAAAAAAAATATGGGTTTGTGTGTGTGTTTTTGTTTTGTTTTGTTAGAGTAGGGGGAGGAAGGAGGAGAGAGAGAGAGGAAAAAAAAAATCAATAAGAGAGAACCATTAACTAGCTGCTTATTTCACACCTCCACTTGGGAATGGAGCCAGAAACCCAGGCATGTGTCCTGACAGGGAATTGAACTATTGACCTTTCAGTGCATGGGGTGACTCTCCACCAACTGAGCCACACAGGCCAGAACTCCACAATTCTAAAGTTCAATGGTCTTAATGCTCCACAAGGAATAATAATAGTAAGTCTTACAAGACAGGACCCTAGACCCACGGGCTGTGGCAATTTATAACCACATCAGTACCGAGCGGCCTGTCCATCACATAAAAAGATTCTAGCTGCATTGTGTGTACTTCAAGCTCTGATCTTTAACCATCATCTAGCCCACCATAAGCCTTGGTATGGGAATCACAGTTGGTGATTGTGAAAATGGGGAGAGGGGAGGAAAGAGACATTTATCTGATTCTCACATAGGAATAGTATGTTTGAAAAACAAAATTTCAAAAACTCCTTAATCCTGTGTTTGTTTTCATGTCAGTGAAACCATTTGAGAATAAATACTTTTATTTCAAATTGGTGGAATGAGTACTTGCTGCAGCTTTCTCCTCTTGCCTCAATCCCTAAAAATGATTGAAAAGATATTTTGGTAAATCTATAATCACACTTGACCATAAGAAACTGTGTGGCCTATAGACCAGCAATGATGATGATTCTTGAAAGAAGAGAGACAATGTTTGCTTGAAGAATGAATCCACAATCAGGTACACAATGGAGAGTACTGCTGAGAAGTAAGTATGGCTGCAAGGGAGCTCTAAACATGCAAAGTCTGATCCCTGCATTGCACGGATTCTGAGGTAACTGACAATAGCCAGGCATTATGACTCCTACACATAACCTCTCACTCTTGGGGTCAGAAGCAGAACAAAAGAGATCATCTTCCCAGAGCAGTAACTAAGGTTATTTGAATTGGAGACACGGGGACAAAGTCTTCATGTTAGTAACATCTAGACAGTGGTCAGCAAACTGCGGCTCTCGAGCCATGGTTTGCCGCTCTATTGACTAACGAGTTTGCCGACCACTCGACTAGACTCTCAATTCCAATAATTACAGGCTGCTGCTGTTCCTTGTGATTAAGCCCCTATCCCAGTGCTTGGCAAACTCATTAGTCAACAGAGCAGCTCACCAGCCGCATGTGGCTTGCCAGCCGCAGTTTGCTGACCATTGACCTAGACCAAGCATGTTCAACTCAAAGGCTAACATGGGCCAAATAAACAAGCTTTAAGTTTATGTGGGCCACAAAAAACAAAAGCTTCAATTTTCATAGGAACGTAGGTTTATTTTAATAGAGACATGCTGAATACAAAGGGCTGAAATAAATGAGTAATCGATAATATAAAATAGAACATTTTATTAAAAAATTAATATTTCTTCTTGAACATTAACTTGCCAGACACTGAATAATTGCACCAAATAATAAGTATAACACAAATAAACCTATTTCTCTTGTTCTCTGAAAGTGAAATATTTCCTGTTTCACACACTAAACAAGTCAGTACAAGACTAATGACATGGTAATCGGCTGCTAAAATATTCACTGCTAGTATTAGTGGAGAGAAATGGTGGGCCTGTATGTAAGGCATTTAAGGGAAATGAATGCAACATGATTAATCAGTCAGTGAATATTGTAGTTCATTATTAATAATAATATATAACAGGATATTATAAAAATTAAGTTATGTAATTTTTATTAAAATGTTTCTTATATATCATTATACTG